GCATATGAAAATGTTTAAATCTTCGCTTAATGAAATATAGTGGTGCTAATTTCCTACTATGTATAACTTAATCTTTGAGTATTTATAAAGTTGTTTTCAATTTTCTATTAAATATAGCCTTGTACTAACCTGTAGTAGTTTTTATGTGAAAAACTGAGGTTACTTTTAATATCCAGAGTAAAGAGACATGAAACATGTGTTAATAATACTCTTATAGGTAAATTGACTGTGCATTCCAAAATTTGTCATGGAAATGGCTTGATTATATCAAAACATATTAATCTCCTCTATACATTCTCTGCAGTGCATTGTGGAAAACTAAATAATATGAGGAGCAAAAGTTAGCATCACTACACTTCTGGATTTTTTTTTAACAGCTATGAAGAATTTTCCATCCTAGCAATAGTGATAAAACTCTATATTGATTTTGAAAATGTTGTTTAATTTTTTCCAAGAACTAGTGGTTACTTGTTTGTAAATGAAAACAATTTATTTGTAAATCATAAGCACAATTTATTCTGCTAGTTACATAGATTTGTTTTATTATAAATCAAGAAATCTAAAACCATTAAAATAATTTTAAATAATATGAATATAGGTAATTTTTATATAAATTTATAAATGGAAATGTTAATATTAAATTTGGGAAATGAGAAATTGTACAGTAAATTTGTGTATGAAAAATTACAAATGATTACTATTTTTGATTGCTTAACCATTTCTAAAATACTTGATTTTGTCATATATCATCTCATTTGTCCAAGTCACTATGTGTAAAAATTTTGATTGCAGTCATGCTGATTGAAAAGAAAACTAAGTAGAGAAATTCTATTCATCTGTATCAGTCTTTCAGGAATCCTTGTTGAATAATCTCTTTTGTCCTCCTTGCTGAATCTCTTGTGGTGAATATATTCACCTAGGATCTCTGAAACTTAGAATTTTAATATACTGTAATTTGTAATTCAACTCATGGAATGAGATACTCTCTTTATCTCAAAGGCTATTTGGGGATTTCATGGCAAAGCACTAAATACTTTGGCACTCAGTCCTCTAGTGTTCAACTGGATCTGCTAGAATGGCCTTTCAGATAAGATTCTGGAGAGTATATACTGAACAGGAACAGCAGCCAATGGGATTGGTTACAGTTCAATAGGAAACAAACTGATTGATCTTTATACTTGGGAAACTCAAAAATATAATAAAAATTCTTTATATTTATTTTCTAACCCTAAGGGAAACAAACTATAGCAGTGGCATTTTATTTTCCATAGTCATATTTGTTATGGTGAAAAACAAATATCTTTATTTCAAGTGCAGTTATCTATAGCAAATAATTTCTATAATTTCATGTATTAACTAATTCTAGGTTATCAAAAAACCAAAGCTATTATAATTCATAATGGAGCCAATGATATCTATGATGTCATCAACTATGGCATAACTACTCTGGGCATTCCTTTGTTTGGGGAGCAACATGATAATATTGCACATGATAATATTGCACATGATAATATTGCTCATGAAGGTGAAAAAAGTAGTTATTATACTGGAGTTCAAAACCACTTCAAATACAGATTTGTGTAATGCACCAAAAACACTTAATAACCCTTTGTAAATATCACATTTTTTTTTTACTATGTAGTATTGATAGAAAAGTTCCTGCATGAGCACCAAATGGGAGGCAGTAAGTCTGAACATGAGCATAATCTCAGAAAAGGTTTACTTGATGCTGGTAAAAGAATCACCAATAGCCACTTGTGAGTGTCACAATGTAGGGATAGAGGTCTGTAGTCAGGGAAAGAATAGAATAAAGACCTCATTATAATCATAGAAAGAGATGAAATCCAGGTATAGAAAGACACCAGATAGCACAAATGGCATGAGAAGAAAGGAAGGAATGCTCACTAATGGAGAGATTAATCAGAGGAAGAGCTGACAGGTTAAAGGATAAGGAAGCCAGATAAACAAAACTGCTTGTCCTCACCTCCAATAAATTGTAAAGGTGAGGGAAAGCTACTAACTTAAAAGAAAACTCTTATTTAGTATATAAACACACACACAAACACTCACACATATGCTTTACTACATATTTACTATAGTATTATATATATATATATATATATATATATAGTTTATGGTCACTATATTATTGCAATAGACACACATATCGCTCCACTTAATCACTACCTCTAAGCTGCCTTTTCTATAAGGCCCTTTCTAGCCAACCCATAATCCCAGAGATAAGGCCCTGAAAAGGACAAACAGGTAGAAAGTTGTCAAACAAATTATATAGAAAAGGAATGTGCACATGGGCAAGGATGCCTGGGTTAGGGTGTTGTGACCTGTGACCCATCAAAAGATAACCCGGGGAGACAGTCAGATTGTGACAAGTTCCAGGTATCCACCTGGAAGGAAGAGATCCTGACTCTAAAAAAAGAGACCTGGGATAAAGGCTTGTGGGTATACATCTTTTTCCAGACCCCCTGACCTCTTTTCAGGCCATCTTTCTTCTGTCTTCTACTTTTTTCCTCCTTAAAAATAAAGTATCTTCCTTTCTTAAATGCCATCCCTCAAATTCATTATTGGTACTGAGTTTTTGGTCCGGGCTAGCTGCTCACTGCAATGTGACAATAAGAATTTTTCCCCCATGGTTTTAATATTAAATTTGTCTGATATTTAAGCATTGATCTAAGTTTTGAAATAGCCAATAAGCAAATGACAATGAACCACTAAGGGTCATGACAGGGTTATAGGAAGCATTAACAAAAAATTGAATCTGGGAAACATGAATAATACAACTGTATAAAATTGTAGAATAGCTTGATTTACTTTCTACATGACAACTGATTACAGGCTACTTTTAAAGTAAATGCTATTGTGTGTATTTAAGTTATACAAAATTTTGAGATGTATATAGAAAGTAAAATGTTTACTAGTATGAATAAATACAATAACATATCCACCATCTCACATATTCATTTTTAAAAAATTATTCTGAACTAGTTTTTTTTTAAAGAGACAGGATATAATCAATCTCCAAATACCATTATATTTAACCTTCCCAAATTTCTTATAATAGTGTTTTGAGTCCTTTAATGATGAATGGTAAACAACTGGGTTTTTCAAATTTCAAGAGAACTGCTCACAAAAGAGGCTACTACTTATACATGTTATCATATCCTTAGTTCTGGTTGTGGTTTTTTTTGCTTTATTTGCAATAACAATATAATCAAAACTTGGTTGTATTCTTAGAGATAAATTTTAATATACTAACCAAAATTTCTGAAATAAGAAATTTTTTCCAACTAATTTCAGTATGCACATTAATTTGTTATGTGTTTATCATTATTTTCCTAGTATCAGCAACATTCTAAGTGTATTACACCCTTTCAAAATGACTTTCAGTGAAAAATCATTTTGGGGAGTAGTAGTGTTAATCAACTTCACAACACTGTAACAAAATTCCTGATGTTAATAGTGTATAAGAGGGGAGTTTTATTTTGCTTCACAATTCCTAAGTTTCAGTGCATGGTTGCTTGGCCCAGTTGCTTTGGAGCCTACATTAAAGCAGTATGTCATATCAAGGAGTATATACTGACCAAATTTGTCACTACATGTTGTTAGAAAGCAAAGAGAGAAGTGCCAGGGCCAAGATCCCAATATTTCCACCCTATGCATATCCTCATGACCCAAATTCCTCTCCCTGGACTCCAGTTCCTAAGGTTTTATCCCCTCCTAATAACACCATGCCACAAGCTTGTGATCACAAATACCACAAAGGCCATTACTGGATCACTGTTCACACTGCAGCAAGAATGTATTGGCAAAGACAGTGATAGACACTAATAGTTTGAAAGTAATATTTTAATTAAATTATATATATTTTTTATCCTAGTAAGTACATTGTGTGGCATATTTTCTTTTATAAAAATATATCTTTATTGAGCCGGGGATTTAGCTCAGCGGTTTCACTGCCTGCTGCACAAGCACAAGGACCCGAGTTCAATCCCCCGTACAAATATATCTATATATATCTATATATATATATATATAGATATATATATCTTTATTATGCTGGCTTAATGTAAAAATATATCTCACTCATATAGATGTCTTCCAGCGTGTTTACATCTGTATGAATGCAAAGCAGTCACTGTAATGGTATGAGATGGTGCATAATGAGTGCATGTGATGTGACATTCATGATACTAGAACTTTGTATTATGGAACCTCCTGATTATAGCTATGCTCATCACGTACAAAAATGTTTTGTGTTTAGTGAAGTCCTCTTAAAATCATTCCTTCCAATGTTTTAAAATAACAGAAAGTGAAGTTGCCTCCATTGCTATTGCTACCATCTCATCTTCTAGCACTCTAGAGTTCAGAGTTGGTGAGATCCTCTTCTCTATGCACCCTTCTTCCTCATTCTTTTTTTCCATTAAGTTTATTGATAAAATTTAGATATAAAATACAGTTACATTCATCTTTGGGATCTTGTACCTTTAAATACTGTATCTTTTTTTATATTTAAGGCAGTAATTTCTAACATTAAATTGTGGCAACCTTTCACTTTAATCTCAGAGACAACATTTCTATTATCATTATCAGATGTCAACTTATTAATTGCACAAAACAGATTTTTTTATCAAATGCAGGTTTCCATTGGCAATGAATATATGACTATCTCCATTCAAAGGAGAAGTATTTCCTTTCAACAAGCTAAAACAATAAGTGATATTTGAACTGCTGGTTGAAAGGTAGAGGCACTGGTAATCATTATTTCCCCTTGTTTGTTCAGGCCCTTCCAACAAAACAAACAACCTTTCTGTGATTGGATTGACATGGTGTTAACAATGCATTTAATGCCCAAATCAGTATGAATACAGGTAAAGCTCTCACTAATACCAGTACCAGGATGTTAAAGCCACCTATTTTCTAAGCAGCCAAAAAAAAAAAAAAGGACGGTGCTTCCCTTCCTTTGGCAAATAAGGCAATATGCTAGTATTCACCAAGATACATCATATAAAACTTCTGTATGATTCTTCAGGCCCTATGCTAACACTCGATACTATACCTGCTGTCTTTTCAGCAGTTTTAGCTTCCACTGTTTTTTCTTGGAGTTCCAGCTTAAGCTTTAATTTTTTCTGTTCTTTATTTTCTCTAGTCAGTTTTTCTTGAAGCTTTTTATTGCTTGTTCTGAGTATATCCAATTCTTCTAGAAGAAATGCTACTGTCTCTTTATTTACATCTGAAGTTACTCGATAAGCAATCGTATATTCATGAATGTTACACCCAGTGAGAGAGAACCCACCAGAGACCAATATTAAATCCACACAGGAGTTTATTACCAGCCAGGACCCAAGTGGAGCATAGGACTCGAGCCTCCACTGGGGATTGACAAACATGTTTTATACACCTTTGAGGCCAACAGTTCCTAGGCCCCCCTGTGGGATAGAAGTAGTAAAGCAAGCAAAAGGTAAAGAAGTGGAATGGGCTGCTGTTTGAACATTTGTAAGACAATAGTTGATTAATTGTTATTTCTAAAGGGACTGTCTAAGGGGAGGAGGTTTTTAAGCTTCCTCCTTCTGAGTTCATCTAAAGGGCAGGCAGGTGGGTCAAGCAGCAATATGGAGTCTGTCTTGCTAACTAGGGTCCTTCATTCCCCACTAGTTCTTGTAAGTTAATCAAATCTTTGATTCCTGTATTTACTCCTTGAATTTTTTTTAAACACCTTTTAAAATCTCATAATTTTGTCTCAACACCATCAGTTTAACTGCATCAACCCTCTAACATACTTAGAGCATTTATAATGCAAAGTCTCATGAGCAAAAGCAGAAGTAAGGTAACTAGGGGCCCTGTTACAGCAGAAACTAGGGTAGTTAACCATTAGCATAGAAGCAACAGGTTTTTTTTTTATGGCTACACATAACCCTTTTTGTTTCATGAACAGGAGGTCAAGTTCCCTTTGATTTGTTGGACCAACCATCTCAGCTAGGGAATCAACCTGTTTTTTTAATCTGGAGATTGAGTCTTTCAGGTGACCCAAATCCCTGGGTACTTGGTGGCTTAGGGCTTTAAAATTTGTGTCCTGGAGGATCAGGGAGGAAGTTTCAATAGCCACTGACCCAGATATTCCTAATCCCACCAGAATGGGCACTAAAACGGGGGGGGGGGCCGTTTGCTACTCTAGTGTTCAGTGGTTAATCCCAGATGTTCACGGCCCCCTTTTTTATTATAATACAGGACTTGTGGAACAACATACATGGTGACACAAAATAAAGTGGCAGATTGGGTAGCCAAGACTGATTTGGGAATGTATTTAGTCAAGTCCTCAATGCAAGCAAACCAAGCATATCAGGACCAGGTCTCCTGGCTTGAAACCATGGGTCTGGAATGTTGCAAAGGGTTTGTCAAGCTTGTTGTATTGTAGCCTGGATCTCACTCTGAAGAATCTGTAAGGCTTGAAGAGACTGAAGTAAAGAGACACAAGAACTCTCTGTTATCTGTTCAAGGTTTAACTTAGGGAGGAGTGGCAGCAGCCTCCCATACAAGATTTCAAAAGGGATAAACTTGTCACATATGGGGTACATCTAACTCTTAACAAGGCTAGAGGAAGCAGATCAGGCCACCTACCACCAGTTTCTAGAACATATTTAGTCAGGGTTTCTTTCAGGGTCCTATCCATCCTTTCCACTTGCCTTGAACTTTGTGGGTGATAGGCACAGTATAACTTCCAATTGATATGTAGTGCCCTTGCCAACAATTTGGATATCTGTGCTGTGAAGGCAGGCTCATTGTTGGATCCCAGGGAATGAGGGATGTCAAATTGGGGAACTATCTCCTGGAGCAAAACCTTAGTTACTATGTTGGCTGATTTTCCATGCGTGGGGAAAGCTTCTACCCAACCTGAGTAGGTGTCAACCAATACCAGTAAATATTTGAACCTATTGTTGGATTTTATTTTGGTGAAATCAAGTTCCCAATGTTCCCCTGGCTCTCTTTCCTGTAGTAGATTACCTTTGTTCCTTGGTCTTGTCTTGAAGTTTACCTGTGTACACACTTGACACCTGGAACTGATGTCCTGGACCATAGAGGTCAGTCCTGGGATTGAAAACTTAGAGCTCATTAGTCTTTTTAACTTTGATTCTCCCAGGTGAGTTAAGTGATGAAATTGATGAACAAGTTGTTGCCCCAGGGCTCGGGGAGACAAATTTGTTCATTTGTCCCTTTTTACCAGCCTGAATCCAGTTTTGTTGTCCCTCGCTTTTGGTTTTCCTCCTCCTCTTCTGGGGTATATGTGGGTCTTTTTGGAAGGTAGCCAAAGGGTCGGATGGGCAGAATGTCTATTGGCCCCACTGGTTCTTTGGCCACTCATTGGGCTGCATCATCAGCCTCTCTGTTTCTGAGGGCCTCGAGGCTGTTTCTTTTTTGGTGGCTTTTGTAATGAATAATGGCCAATGCCCTGGATTTCCAAATTGTCTCCAATAAGGCCAAAATTTTTTTAAAATTTTTTTTGATAGTTTTTTTCTTCTGATGCCAATAGCCCTCTCTGTCTGTAGATGTCGCCATGCACATGGGCAGTGGCAAATGCATACCGGCTGTCAGTGTAGATATTTATGGCCTTATCTTGACCCAAATTCAAGGTTCAGCCTTTTGTGCCAAAACCCCTGGCTTAATGCCTGTGCCCAGTGTACCTGTCTTCCTGGACTGACTATGGCTGCCCTTGAATACCTGACTGTCTTTCACGAAGCTGTTTCCATTGGTGAAGAAGGTCAATCAGGTCTGGGAGGTTGGTAGTGGAAGTTGTCAGAGTGTCCAGACAGTCATGGAGGGGCATGAATATGAGTCAGAGTCCAGGAGTAAGATGGCTGGATTGAGGGTCATTTCCCAGGCAAATTTGATGTGTGGAGCATCCAGCAACAGGGCCTGGTACTGAATCAGGCAAGTGTTGGAGAGCTATCATTCTGGGGCTCCTCCCAGCAATGTCTCCACTGTATGGGTGGTGGTGGTGACCAGGTCCTGTCCCAGACTGAGTTTATCTGCCTCCTTGACCAGAAGGGCAGTGGCTGCAACTGCCCTTAAACAGGTAGACCATCCACTTGTCATAGGATCAAGTCTTTCAGACAGGTAGGCCACAGGTCTGTTCCAAGGCCCTAATGCCTGAGCTAGCACTCCTTTGGCTATGCCCCCTCATTCAGCCACAAACAACTGAAAGGGCTTGGTGACATCAGGTAGGGCTAGGGCTAGTGTTGACACTAAGGCTTTTTTTAAAACCAAAAAGGCAGCTTTCTCTTTTTCTGTCTGGAGGGACTGTCTCATGTGCCTGGAGTGCAACAATAGTGACTTTCCCCAGTTTCTTGGCTAGGACTTTCTTGGGGGGGGGGCATCATGGTTATCATAAAATTTCTGGGCTATGTTTAGGAGTTTAGTCCTATTCTTTCCCTCAAATCCCTCCAATTTTTGTAATTTTTTTCTAATGTCTGGGGCCGACTGGGAAACAAAGGCCAAATTTAAAGTTGCTGCATTTTTGGGAGCCTCTGGGTCTATAGGAGTGAAAACTCTATAGGCTTCCAAGAGTCTCTCTAAAAGCGCAGCCAGAGACTCCATTTTTCCCTGGAAAACCTCACTTACCTTACTCAAATTAGTGGGGTTTTTTGGCAGCTTCCCAGAGTCCCCCTAATAAGTGCTGGTGGTAGGTCCCCAGCCTCCTCTTACAGTCATCATCATTGGGGTCCCATTCAGGGTGTCAGAATGGAACTACTGTTTCAGCCCTGCCTGAATGCCCCAGAGTTCCGGGAGTGATGCCGAGGTTTGGCCCCAGGGCCTCTTTGACTGCCTGTTGATAAATGTGGTCCCGATCCTCAGTGGTGAACAGGATCTGTAAAAGCTGCTGGCAATCATCCCAGGTTGGCTGATGGGTATGAAAAACAGACTCAAGAAGAGATTAATGCCTGAGGTTTTTCAGAGAAGGGGGATTTTGATGTTTCCAATTGTAAAGATCACTAGTTTTAAAAGGGACATAAATCAATCCTCCCCTGGGCTCTGTCTGTTTTAAAGGAAAAAAGGGAGGAGGAAGATGGGGCTGATGGACCATAGTCCTGTCCCTTTCAAGTGCCAAAGGTTGATCAGGACCTGTGGGGCCCCAACTCCCGTGACCACATTCCAAACCTTGCAAGCAATGTGCATAGAATAAGTTCCCACTGGGGACCAACCGACTCCGAAACTGGGCCATTTTAATTGACACAGGGTTCATAATTTATCTTTAGAAAATTTCATGCCATATTTATCTTCTCTGTTTGTGGAATAAATTTTTTTGAAGTTATTCAAAACACAATCAAGTGGAGTTCCTTCTGTGGACTGTCAGGAACCCATAAATTTTAACCTGTGAAAACACAAAAGGCACACAGAGCAATCAGACAGACAACAATAAATAGACAATGACAAATTTTGGCCAAGTAAAACCTCTGGGGCTGAATGGATTTGGACCCCACCCAGGGAGTCTCTCTTCTGAGGATTCTGATCCAGTGAGTCAGCTTGCCCCAGTGAGTCTGCTTGCCATCGGGAAGAGACTCTAGGTAGGGCAACCTGTGCCATGTCTGGCTTCCTCCTAGCTACCCATAGTGCACTAAGAATCATTTGATTCTTACCTCTAGAGGCTTTCCCGATAAACTCCTGTGGGTTGGTTAATCGGCCATGGGGCCCGACTGGGACCGGCCTATCCAGAGCCCTGGAATACTGTCAGAGTGGCCTCTCCTTCTGCAGACCAGTGACCAGAGGGGCCAAACACCACCGATGTCCGATCCTGGTCTCTTCTAAAAAGAAACAATGGCTCCAAGATAATAAGCTCGAGAGCATCTGGCTATCTTGCTGGGGCCTCCAAGAATGTTACACCCAGTGAGAGAGAACCTTCCAGAGACCAATATTAAATCCACACAGAAGTTTATTACCAGCTGGGACCCGAGCTGAGCATTGGACTCAAGCCTCCACTGGGGGCTGACAAACATGTTTTACACACCTTTGAGGCCAACAGTTTCTAGGCCTCCCTATGGGATAAAACTAGTAAAGCAAGCAAAAGGTACAGAAGCAGAACATCCTGCTGTCAGAACATTTGTAAAACAATAGTTTATTGTTATTTCTAAAGAGACTTTCTAAGGGGAGGAGGTTTTTAAGCTTCCTCCTTCTGAGTTCATTTAAAGGACAGGCAGGTGGGTCAAGCAGCAATATGGAGTCTGTCTTGCTAACTAGGGTCCTTCAATAATGTAAATCATTCTTTCTATATTCCATAATGCTTTCAGATGTCTCATCATCTGGATTAGGACTGATGACCAGATAACTCCTTGATTTCTGCCCCAGCAGTTCAGTGCCCTCATTTGTGACTTCTTTAACTAAGTCACTGGATTTCTGATGCAAGCTTCCCTCAGATTTAACACCTAGTTGTTCATCTGGCTGTGTACTTTTATTTATCCCTGTAGGGTCTTGTTCAATATGAATGTGGGCTATATCTTTTGACCAGTCCTCCATTTGTACTGCTGTTCTTGTTTGCTCTGGCAATGTCCCTGGTTTTTGCTCCAAGACTGAAGTTCACAGATAGAACCTTGCATTCTTTAAAAAGTCCTCAAATAAAACTCTAGTAAGCTTCTCCTTTTCCAATTGTCTCTAAATATGCTGATGTGGAGTTGGCAATCTTTTTCTAAGTTCCTCATTTACTTTTGGATTAGCTGGGAAGTGCCTGGCACCACCCCGGAGCAGACTCTGTGTGCCAGCCAGGAGTTTCTCAGGCCCAAGGTGCAGCCACCATGTCAGCCAATCGCCTTCTGCTAGAAGCCTATGGCGGGTGTGTGCATCCCCAAAACATGGTGCACTGTGGGGCCTAAATACTGTATCTTGATTCTTATTTTTTCCCCTGCCTCTGCCCTCCCTTCACTCCCTCCACTCTTCTCTATTTGCAAAGACTTTGTTTCAATTTTTTTCCTTTTCTCATATTTTTTCTTTTTCCTTCTTTCTTTTCCCCTACCCCTCCCACTTCTGCTACTCCTTTAGACCTTTTCTTCCTATTACACAATATCAATTATACATTTTTAAAAAATTACAATATCAAAATTTAGAGGACATTACCACAGATTTTACAGAATTTAAAAGGATATAGAAAGCATATTACAAAAATCATTTTTGAAATAAATTTGACAACTTCT